TATAAACCCATGTGCACATAATAGGGGTTGCAAGAGGAGGTGGATGGCAGCTTTGGGGAGCCTACATCAATTTTGGTGCATATTATCTGGTTGGACTTCCGGTGGCTGCCATTCTAGCTTTCATAGTACATTTAAGAGGGAAGGGTCTTTGGATCGGCTTTATAGTTGGTTCTATTGTTCAAACCGCACTCCTGTTGCTTATTACAGCCCTCACAAACTGGAAAAAACAGGTTCATTCTTTGACTTAATTGTATATATTGTGTTTTGTTGTTTTTTTGTTAAACACTTTCTTTTTGGCAAGTGGCATGAATGTGGTTTTTTTTTTTTATTATTATTATTAATAACGTTGCAGGCAACCAAGGCAGAGATGAGGGTAACTGGAAACTGAGTCAACTGAGATAATTTAAGCTATGAAGCACAGAAATGTGGTCATGTACCAGAATGTTTTTACTTATCGATAGTATCAATATTATATACGTTCTAAAAATTAATTTCAATAATGTATTGATGTCTTCTGTGCTTGATTTTATTTTTTCTTAGTCTTAATTCTTGTCTTACCGTTGTTGTTTCTCTAGAAGGTAAAAAAAGAAATGGAGAAAATTAGGAACCAGACCTGGTTTGCTTTTTTTAATCACTGCCAATTAAGTCTATATATAATATATATCATCATCTAGCCATTTTTGTGCTCGAAAGCTCTAGTGGTGGATTAGTATAGCGATTTAAAACTATTGTTTAGTAATTTTGTTTAATTTGATGATTGATAATTGTTATTGTTAATAATTTAAATACTTTTATTTATTGAATTACATAAAATCACAAATCAATAATTTCAAACTATTATATTAAACAATCCTCTAATCTTATCTTATGATAAATATCTAGGTTTTTGAACAATCACTGTTTTATACCGTTGGTAAATTGTAATTTTCTACTTCAAAGGAGAGTGAACAAAACCCTTTAAGTTAACGATTACTTATGACAAAGTAGGATACAAATGACTTCGGGATCAAA